GCGGGCGCATCAGGGCGGCAGGTTGAGGGAGGTCAGGAGGCATGGGGTCCCGTGCCTTCCTGTGCTGCAGCTTGTGGAGCTGTCGCGGCAGGCGGCCAAGGTGCCGGCGCTGGCGGCTGAGCTGGAGCAGACGCAGGAGGAGCTCAAGGTTGGTGGTGAATTGGTGGTCGCGGAGCATGCAAGTGGTGGTGGTGGTGGAGCATGCTGCAAGCGTGTGTGGTGCGGCGATGAGATGAGCCGTGCTCTGGGCTGGAGGGGCCGCATCCCGCCGTGCCAGTGCACATCGCTGTCTTGCCGCGCGCGGTGCAGGAGGTGCAAGGCCTGCTGCGCGACACCCAGGCCGCCTTCAAGCTGCTGATGGAGACGGTGAGGGAGAAGGAGGCGGCGGCGGAGGAGCTGGAGGGGCAGGCCGACGGCCTGCGCGGCGCGGCAGAGGCGCTGCGGCGGACGTGCGGCGAGCTGGAGGGCGCGCTGCAGGTGCGGGAAGGCCCCGCCAGCGGCGCAGCCCGCCCCACACTCCCGCCCTGGCACCCGGTGGTGCGCCGCTGCTGAGGCATGTGCTGCCTGGCCGGCTGGCGCAGGAGAAGGAGGCGGAGCTTGGCTGTTTGCAGCATGAGCTGCGGGCGGGGCAGGAAGAGGCGGCCGGCTGGCAGCGCCGGTGCAGGCAACTGCAGGGGGAGGCGGATGGGCGGGAGCTGGAGCTGGCGCGGAGGGACCTGCGGGCAAAGGAGGTGGAGGACGCGCTGCACGCGCTGGGGTCCAGGGCGGCGGAGGAGGCGGCGGCGGCGGCCAGCGAGCGGCAGGGGCTGGAGGGGGCGGTCAAGACGCTGGAGGCGCGGCTTGCGCAGGCGAGCCCCGGCCGCCGCCAGAGCGCGCCTGTGCTCTTGGACCGGAGGTGCCAAGCTGTCGCCCTCTGTGCTGCCTGGGATCTGCAGACGCGTTGCAGCCTAACCCACCTGGCGGCCGCCTGCGCTGCTCCTGCAGGCCAGGATGGACCTGGCCCGCACCCGGGATGAGCTGAGCGGCGCGGAGCAGGCGCAGGTCACGGCACGTGCGGAGCTGGAGGCCTCGCAGCAGCACTGCACGCAGCTCAGGTGCGGGCAGGGGCACTGCGCGCGTGCAAGTGGGGCGGATGCAGCGTGGGGCCCACCGGGAGCGTCCAGCTGGCACAGGAGCGGCAGCGGCGCTGCGGAGGTGTCGTGGGCTGTCGCTGCCTGCCGGGCGAGCCGTCAGCAGCTTGGCGCACCGCCCCGCCTGTGGCTGCGCCTGCAGGGCCCAGCTGAATGAGGAGCAGCTGCGTGCCAGCAAGCTGCGGGGCGAGCTGGCGTCGCTGAGCGGCAGCCACATCAAGGACCAGAAGGAGAAGAGCGGGCTGCTGGCAGACACGCTGGCGCGCCTGCAGGTGGGTGGGGCGGCGTGCAGGCAGAGCGCATGCTGAACTCGGGGGTCAGAGGCAGATGGGGACAGGGAGAGAGTGAGTAGAGTCAGGCAGGGGCAGGTGAGGATGAGATTTTGGAGGAGGCTGGCCGCGCCATTGGTGTGGTTGTCCGCGTGCTGTGCGCAGGCTGAGGAGGCGGCCAAGCTGTCGGCGCAGCAGGAGGCGCGGGCCATCCGGCGGAGGGTGGAGGAGCTGGAGGTGCGTGGCGGTGGCCGCCATGTGGCAGCACATATGCCGGGCACAGTGACTCGGTGGCACCAGCCCAGCCGGCACCCACTTGCCTCCACCACACGCCACCCCACGCAGGGCTCCCTGGCCGATGCGGCGGCGGCCCAGGCGCGGAGCCAGGAGGCGTACGAAGGGTCTCAGGCGGCGCTGGAGTCGATGCGCAAGAAGCTGGAGGCGTACAAGCGGGAGAACAAGAGCCTGCTGAGCAGCTACGACCAGTGGCTCAAGTCGGTTGTCGCCACGCGGCAGCCCGTGGTGGGCGCCTCGCCCTGATGAGCATGACGTTCTGCGCCCTGCCCTGGCACCAGCCCTTGAATTGAGATATGCCTTTCTGTAAATGACTGCTTGTGACTAGGCTGGGACACTGCACGGCTGGGATGAGGTCGCCGGGCGCAGCAGCGGTCTAGCGCAGCGCGCTATGCTGCGCTATGGCAGCAGGTGGGCCAAAGCGATCTGGCTCTGTCGCGCCATTCCGCTTCTCCACGCTCTGCTTGTCCTCTCGGCTCTTCGCTCCGTCGCTGTGCACGTCTGCCTTTTAAAGCTCGGCCCCCGCCCGATTCAAGCGGCCTTCGAGCAGCAGCCACAATGTCCAAGCTCAGCTCCAGCGCCAAGAGGATTCAAAAGGAGCTCGCGGAGATCAGCCTAGACCCGCCCTGCAACTGCTCCGCCGGGCCAAAGGGCGACAACATTTACGAGTGGGTGTCCACTATCATGGGGCCCTCAGGTGCGGCTGCTGCTGGCGGGACGGTGCCGGGAAGTGGCCCGCGGGCGGCCAGGCAGGTTGAACCCGCTGCTGCCGCCGCCACCAAGGCGCTCCCGACCTGCCGACGCTTTTGCGTTGCGCTTCCCGCTGCGTGGCCACCTGTGCAGGCTCGCCCTACTCTGGCGGCATCTACTTCCTGGACATCCACTTCCCGCCAGACTACCCCTTCAAGCCGCCCAAGGTGGGGCCGCACAGGGCCACGGCGGTGCTGGCAAGACGCAGGAGACCACGCAACGAGAATCGGTCTACATTGTGTGCTTTGTGCGCTGCCGCTGTCGCTTGCCCCCGCAGGTCACCTTCCGCACCCGCATCTACCACTGCAACATCAACAGCAATGGCCAGATCTGCCTAGACATCCTCAAAGACCAGTGGAGCCCCGCGCTGACCATCTCCAAAGTGCTGCTCTCCATCTGCTCGCTGCTGACAGATGCCAACCCCAGTGAGCGGCGCAGCGGGCGACGGGAGGCAGGGTGGCGGTGGGAGCCAGTGCGGGGCATGGCAGGGTGGGGGCTGCGGCAGCAGGCCAACGGCAGGCTGCCTAACTGATTGCACAACTGCGGTGGGCCGGCCCTCCCCTGGTGTTGCTGGCGATGCCCATCTGCTGCTGACAGCTCGCCCCGCTCTGCTGATGCCCCGCCTGCAGACGACCCGCTGGTAGCTTCCATCGCGCAGCAGTACCTTGCAGACCGTGAGGGGCACGACAAGACGGCGGCAGAGTGGGCCAAGCGCTATGCCAGTGCATGAGGCGGGCAAGGCAGCTGCTGGCCATAGGCAGGTCACCTACACAAGCTCAGCAGGCAGGCTCAGGATTGTTACTAGCCTAGTAAGCAACAGGGTTCTTTAGGCAGCTCACCAACTCCCCCACTTCCAATGTAAATATTGTATCCCTCTCCTGTAACTGCCCACACAAGTCGACACCAACAACCGTCCCAGGGTTCGCTGCTGATGCTGGAATGTTTGTCACATGAAATAGTCACGAAAGCAGTGCTGCGCATACAGAAACAGGAACAGTTGCACATCTCGCAAGCAGGCCGCTGTCACCAGTCGTGCCGCGGGCTCCAGCTGCCGTTGGTGAGCGTGACCCCATGCGGCAGCAGCACCCCGGCGTGCCACTGCACCTCCTTGGGCGCCTGCGGGTGCCGCTTCTGCGCCGCCAGCGACAGCCGGCCGCGCATGTTGACCTCGGGGCTGGCTGGGCCCTCTGTGAACTTCAGCCAGCAGTCGCCCTTGCCGTGCTTGTGCGCATCCGGCTCGAAGCAGTTGTCAAAGGCGCACCAGGCAAAGGCATTGCAGGGCAGGTTGCCAAAGGGGCCTGCGAGCGCGCAAAAACAGCAGCAAGCGGGATGAGGCGCTGAGGGCAAGGGCTGCCACTTGTGTGGCAGCGGGTTGGCCCATGCCACTGCCGTGTGCGCCCCCTGTGCACCTCCAAGGCAGCCACAGGCGCAGCAGCAGCGGGCCTTTGCAGCAGCCAGCCGGGCGCACCCACCATCGCTGGGCCCCTTGGGCTTATGCTGCCTGCACGCCTCGGCGCACTCCTCTATGCTGCCCTTGGTGTTGCCGATGCCCCAGCCCACTGCAGCAGCAGCGAGGCGCGCCATGCACATGGTCAAGCAGCTGAGGTGCGACCCACCGCAGACCATCTGACGACGCTCCCAACCCGCTGCGCTACCGCCACCCCACCAAGCCCTGCACCTGCCAGCCCATCGTAGTCTGCGTGCCGCTCTATGTGGATGTCCAGGTCATCAGGCTGCGGCTTGTTCTCCTGCCACCACTTGTTGGTGGGCGACTCCTCCAGGCACGACGGCACGACGTGCGCATAACCGTCCACCGCCGGCCTGCCGCACACCCGCGTCTCCATTATTTTCTGCACCGGGCTCATGTCCTTGCCGCCCACCTTTGCAGCTTTTGCTGTCGCCTTCAACGCCGCCTTCCGCCCGCCGACTGCAGGCCCAAACAGCAGGCGGGGTGTCACACATCCAGCAGAGCCCACGGGGCAGCGCTGCTAGCAGTGCAGGCGGCGAGCATGTGGCGACGCGGCGCTGGAAGGAGTTTGCACAAGGCAAGCTACACCTGCTGCAGCGGTGCCGTCATCTGGCGTTTCACTGCTGCTGTCACCGCGGTTCAAGACTGCGGCAGAGCCAAAGTAGGAGAGCCCCACCGCCCCCGCGAACACCAAAGCTATCAGGATCGGTCGTCCCGTGCCAGAGCGTTTGTGCTTGGCAGTGTCGTCGCTGCCCATGCCCACTGCTGCCTCTGGCGAGCGAGGATCGCGCGCAGGGGGATCCTGCTACAATAAGCGCGTGGCCTGACCAGTGATCGGAGATCCCAATCGATGGCGATGCAGTTACAAGGCCAGGGAGCAGTCTAAGCGCATGCCAGGTGTCCCTGCTGCCCGTGCTATGGGGCTCATATGTTTCGGGCGGCCTGCACACAGTGTTATCGCTTCCAATGCCTGCTCACTCGACGCCGCTGGCATCCAAGTTGTTGGGTTGTGCGGTGCTGGTGCTGATTGTTTACTTGTCTCAGCGGGAGCCCAGCCCAGGCCCTAAAATGGGCTCTACGTCTATAGAATCAGAGCAGCTGCAGGTTAAGGGCCACAGCATACGCTGCTTGATGGCCAACAACCTCCCTGGGTGTGAGTAGCGGGCTGCGCCACGGCGGCACGACCCGCCCACGTCTCCCATCGGCGGCTTCTCTGCTTTTGTTTTTCAGGGAAAGGGCCCACAGTTGTGCTTCTGCACGGCCAGGCGTTTCAGGCGTCGACCTGGCAGGAGACGGGCACGCTGGAGGCACTGGGCGGGCATGGGGTGCGGGCAATCGCGGTGGACCTGCCAGGTGAGGCTTCGCACCTGCCACGCTGTCCTCCCGTGCACCGGCAGGCGACAGCAGCACCAAAAGTTTCTGCCAGCTAGATGCTTGGCCAGCTAACACGAGCATTTCTCCCGTCACTCCACCATGTGCTTGACCTTTTATGTTGCATGCCACCCCCCCTTTGCCCGCGCACCCACCACGTGCATCGCATCAGGCCACGGCGTGACTGGCGGGCAGGCGCTCCCCCCCAACAGCCGCGCCGCCTTCTTGCAAGACCTGCTCAAGGCGCTGCACGTGCGGCAGCCGCTGGTGCTCATCACGCCCAGCATGTCGGGCTCCTACATCCTGCCCTGGCTGGCAGACCACGCGGCAGAGCTGACCGCCTGGGTGGCGGTGGCGCCGGCAGGCCTGAAGCAGTGGGTGCCTCAGGGTGTGCTGGAGGCGGCGAGCAAGGAGGCCAAGGTAGGTGTGCGGGTGGGCCGGAGGTTGCGGTGGGTGGTGAGGCGGGGCAGGAAGGTCGAGCCAGGCGGACTGCGGGCGCCTGCCTCCCCTGGCTGTCGCGCTGGCTGCCGCTGGCGTCAACCTCGTGTCAGCCTCCTGCGCCGCCCTTCCTTCATGGACGAAGCCTGCGCTCTGCCTTGTCGGGTTGCCGCCAGTCAGCCCAGTCAACGTTTGCTCCCCTCGCCGCTGTCCCTCCCCCCTGCAGCTGAAGGTGCTGGCCATCTACGGCGAAAAGGATGGGATGCGGCCCGACTTTACTCTCATCGAGGATGCACTGCCCAGAGCGCAGTTCCTGCTCATCCCGGCCGCAGGCCACGCATGCTACAAGGATGCTCCCAAGCTGTTCAACAGGGAGCTGCTGCGCTTCCTGGACAATGAGGTGGCGGGGTAGCTGCGGCGAGCGGCCGCCACTCTGCCTGGCGGGCAGCGTTGGCGGTGGCGGCGGCAACGTTGGCGGCGGCAACGCAGGCGGCATCTTCATCCCTCCGATGTTTTGCAAGTGCACTATCCTTGCGAGGCAGCATGGTGATCGAGTGAAGTTGTCCAGCAGTGCCGTCACGCAGCTTCCTCTGGTACTGCGAGAGATCTTGCAAGAGCATGCAGCATTGTTGGGGGGCGACCATTCAACTATCTGCACTGTTCATTGCAGTGCATTTCCGACCGAGGGAGCCCACATTGCGGGAGAATCGCCTTGCCTCTGCGCTTCTGCTGTGCTCCAGCACCCTAATGGACAGAGCTTCGAACTTAATGCAGAGCCTGGCTGCAACTCTGCGCCTGGCAGCCGCCCTGGTGCTCGTGGCAGGTTAGTTGTGGCGGGGGGGAAGCTCCGCGCCTGTCGGGGCTCAGGCACGGGATTTCCAGTCTGAAAACCACATTGCCTGGACCCTGCACCCTTGATCATACCCCGCAGGAGCCTTGGTGGACGCCGCGGTGAGACCCGCGCGGGGGTGACGCCGCCACGACTGGTTGCACAGGTAGGGAGGCCTACCTGCAGGTTGCAGCTGCAAGTGCATTTGCGTTTGGGCGCCATCAGGCAGCCGTTTCTAACAAAAGCATTAGCTGTACCTAGCTTGCTAGGTACTATTACAAAAAAATGAATACACAATTTGAAATGAAAGAAAAATGATTTGAGTGCAGGGCTGGCTGCAAGTTGGGAGGACCTTGACCGGGCCCAGCTCCGCCTCGTGGCTCTCCCTGGCGCTCCACCCCAATGGCACACCCCTCGTAGTTTTCACGGCACAGGACGAGTTGTGCTATGCGCCCTGCACCGCGCCAATCAAGTCCTACGTATAGTGAGTGGCGGCGCTGTGCTGCTGCGGGCTGGCGCCCGTGCAGGGGGCGGTTCAGGGTGCTGCCATACGTGCCGCGGCCAGATGCATGTGTTGCCCGCTGATGTGGCACCTCCCCCGATTCGTCTGGCTCATCAGGCACGCTCTCTCCCGCGATCCCTCCCTTTCCTTCGCCTTTCAGAGTCTCTAAGGCTTCTATTTCTCCCCTCCCGCACCCCGCAGCTGCCGCAAATTTAAAATTATGAACCAACCTGTCATCCTTTATGCCTTAGAACGGCGCCAAAACGGCGCCAAGAATGTGTTTCTCACTAAGTCAGATGTAGAGGGCATCATCCGGATCAAGCAGGGCGACCAGCAGGCGCCCTCAGGCCGGCGGCGGCGGGGTGCGGGAGGGGGGGCGGCAGTGCAGGGCGGCGCCAAGAACTACAGCAAGAAGGTGCTGCAGTTCTTCCAGGTGCTGAAGGGCGCTGGCGGTCAGGACATCCTGTGCCGCTGCGTCAAGCGCAGCGGAGAGTGGCGGTGGTGCCCCGTGGTGCCGCTCGAGGAGCTGCCCCGAGTGATCAAGGAGCACCACGAGCGGGCGACTGGCTTCAGCGGTGTGGAGAAGCTGTACACACATGTGAGTGATACAAGGGGTGCAATGATGCCGCCAGACCAACTGGAGAGTGCTCTGCATCAGGCAGCAACCGGATGCATCGCAGCAAGCACGGGGGGTCGGCACGGCCAAGG